CCCAGGCCGGGCTTCACTAGGCCTCTCTGGGCCTCTCCGCGCCTGGGCCGCCCTCCACAGTCCTGCAGCTCCGCCCACCTCCGATTGCCGAGCCATCGCTGCGCCGAGCCGCCACAACGGGCCGCAGCTCTTCTTGGCCGCTGGGCCCCAGGCTTCTCCAGGCCCCGCCAGGCCTTCGTTCTTCCCGGCCGCAAGGCCGTCGGGCTCCGCCAGGCTTCGCCAGGCTTCGCCAGGCCTCGCTAGGCCCCTCCGCGCCTGGACCGCCCTCCGCGGCATCGCGGCTCCGTTCGCCGCCCCGCCCAGCCAAACCTGGCGGTCTTGCGGTCCGGCACCCGTCCTCTTCGCTCGCCTGGTGGCGCCTTAGGTTCGTTTTCCAACATAAAGACCTTCCTTCTAATTTCAATTATGGGGAGGTTCAACTTTCTGGAGGAAGCGAGAAGGAGAGAGAGAGAAGGGGAAAAAATAAATAGAGGGAGGAGATATGATGGAAGAATCAGAATTAGAATAGAGCTGGACGGGACCTTGGGGGTCTTCTAGTCCAGCCCCCTGCTCAAGCAGGAGACCCTAGGCCATTTCAGACAAGTGGCTGTCCAGTCTCTTCTTAAAAACCTCCAGTGATGGAGCATTCACCGCTTCTGAAGGCAACTTCTGTTCCACTGGTTAGTTGTCTTCACTAATAGGAAGTTTTTCCTTAATTCCAGGTTGTTTCTCTCCTTGATTAGTTTCCATCCATTGTTTCTTGTTCTGCCTTCTGATGCTTTGGAAAATAAATTGACCCCCCTCTTCTTTGTGGCAACCCCTCAAATACTGGAATGCTGCTATCATGTTCCCCCCATCCTTGGTTGTTTTCTTCCAAAGTCATGGCCCTAGAGAAAATCCTCTCAGATTAAAGTCACACGGACCACAGAAACAGGTTTCTGGCCATGTCAGGGAGACTTGCAAGTGAAAACCGGGACATGTTTTTTAGCAGGTGTTCAATGTTTGATGGGCCAGGGCTTGCAGATAGAACGGCATGCCTTTTTCAGACATTGGCCAGACAGCCACCAGAAATGTGATGTCAATCAGATGCTCAAGAGAAGAAACTTTTAACAACGTCACTATGAGGATTGACTGGCTGGAAGACTTGGTTGTCCACTTTGCCTTACCCTGTCCAGGAGATGAGGATGTTCTATGAAGAACACCTACCAAAACCTATGAAGAACACCTACCAAAACCTATGAAGAACATCTACCAAAACCTATGAAGAACATCTACCAAAACCTATGAAGAACTTCTATCAAAACCTATGAAGAACATCTACCAAAACCTACCTATGAAGAACATCTGCCAAAACCTATGAAGAACATCTAATAAAACCTATGTAGAACATCTAACAAAACCTATGAAGAACGTCTACCAAAAACCTATGAAGAACATCTAACAAAACCTATGAAGAACATCTACTAAAAACCATGAAGAACATCTACCAAAACTGTGGACTTCACGGTTGAAGTCCAACATAGAGAGGCGCCCCCTTGGAGAAGACAGGGTCCTACTCTTCACCCCCGCCTGTACAACTCACAGCAGAGACATCCTTGCCTTATAGCAAGAAGCAAAGCATAGGAAAGAGGAATAATCCTAAAACAGCCAAAATCTGCTTCTCCAAAGTCATCGCAGCGTGCTAAGAAGAGTTAGCGCTAAAGGGAAGAGATTAGAAACAGAACGACTGTACAGGGAGGGAAAATCCCCCAAAACAAAAATTTGGATTTTCAAGAAACTGGCTCCTTCACTAGCTTGAGGAAGCACCCTCCCTTAAAATAAGACGAGAAAACGTTTGGGCTGCCAACATCTTCTCAAGCTGAAGAGAGGGCAGAAGGTACCTCAAGGCCTGCCCACAGGTTCTTCACTCACATTCCTTGGGGGAAACTGGAGGGGACCTCTAGTTTTGTCAACTGATGGAGAGTCTGAAGGTCAGATCCGGAAGGTCTCTTGGGAACTCAAGCGAGCAAGACAATTGTCACACCTTTCCCTGGAGTTGCAAGGGACAGGTAAGGTCCACCAGGATGGACCAGGAGCATCCACCAGCGGTGGAGAGTTCCTCTTCAAACAGAAGACCATCCAGGGACACCTCGGGCCCTACTCTGTGTGTTTCAGAGCGGACCAAAGGCAGGCTCTCAATGCCTCAAGAAACACAAGTGCTCAGCGGAGAAGTTGGATTTGCGTTCCTTCACACTTCAGGGATTCCGTCTCTGGTGTGCAAAATTGTTTGCACTCCAGCGGCTTTGCCCATCGCCAGAGTCAGGGTGGAGGGAAGAAGGCACCAAGCTCTGGAGTTACAAGGGATGAACAAGGTCCACCAGAAGGGACCCGGAGCATCCACCAGCGGTGGAGAGAGCAAGAGTTCCTCTTCCAAGAGAAGAGCATCCAGGGACACCTCGTGCCCTACTCTGGGTTTCAGGACGTGGACTAAATGTGCAACCTTCCAGCCCCTCGGCGAGGAATGAGGGGGAAGGTCCTCGGCGGTCCTTGGGGAAGGAAAGGGGCAGACAGGTGTCACGGCTCAGACCAACCAGGCCCAGCTAACAAAACAGACGCGGGCTCATTTCCCCCCGCCCCAAGCCACCCAGCCACCCCCACTTATCCGGCAAAGACAATGAGACACCCCACCAGCCAGCCAGCCAGCCGA